TATGTGCTTATATAGTACAACCTGTGTAACTTCATGCTTTACATTAACAGCACCTTCATAATGCCTTTATAATGCATTCATAGAACATTCATAAGCAGCATGTAAGTATCCTAACTTACCTTAACAGCTGTAATGTGCACTATTAACAAACATAAACCAATTGTGTGATTATAATGTTTGTTGTTATCATATAATGTTGCCTATTAGTGTGTATTAAACTGAATGTTCTATTAATGTATTATAAAGACATTATGAAGGTGTAGTTAATGTAAAGCGTTACTCTTTACTTTCACCTATACAGGGATTATCTGGCTTATTCCGTAAATCTCTGACTTGTAAATGTCCTTGCAGACAGTCCTGGTTGTGGACGTTAAGTTCCGTTGATATGAACTGGTTTAGGTACCAAGAAGAAGCGGTCGCCTATAAGAACGACCACCTGAAGGATCGCCAGCAGCCGCAGTGTTACGTTCAGTACATGATCGCCGTCATCAACAACTGCCAGACGTTCAAGTGAGTCGGTGCTGCAGGGTCCCGCGTGAGGGATGGTGGCTGCCGGGGTGTGTCAGCCTCCAAGAGCTCGTTATATCTGTGTCATTTAGCTGATGCAGGGCAGGTACATCCTAGGTGCTTTTTCGTAATATGGTGAGTTTTTGCATATTAATGAAAATAACTTTCTGCCTCTCCGCCAGGGAGTCAATTAATAGCTTAAAGAAGAAGTACACCCTTAAAACGGAGCCAACGCAGCACGACGCTGCCATCGAGGGGACGCTGAGCGAGGTGGCCAGGGAGGGCTGCCAGTTCCTGCTGGATGAGGTCTTCCTGGACTTGGAGGTAGGAATGCTGGCAGGCGGCGGTTACCCGGAACGTATGGACAGGCGGCGGTTACCCGGAACGTATGGGCAGGCGGCGGTTACCCGGAACGTATGGGCAGGCGGCGGTTACCCGGAACGTATGGGCAGGCGGCAGTTACCCGGAACGTATAGATGTGAGCTGGGGCAAGAGGAGAGGTGTGGCCTTGTGGGTGTGGCCACAGAGGATGTGTTGCCATGTGGGTGTGGCCACAGAGGATGTGAGACCTTGTGGATGTGGCCACAGGGTGTGTGACATTGTGGGTGTGGCCACAGGATGTGTGACATTGTGGGTGTGGCCACAGGATGTGTGACATTGTGGGTGTGGCCACAGGATGTGTGACATTGTGGGTGTGGCCACAGAGGATGTGAGACATTGTGGGTGTGGCCACAGAGGATGTGAGACCTTGTGGGTGTGGCCACAGGGTGTGTGACATTGTGGGTGTGGCCACAAAGGATGTGAGACCTTGTGGATGTGGCCACAGGGTGTGTGGCCTTGTGGGTGTGGCCACAGAGGGGGTGTTTCTGTGATATTGAAGTTGTGGTCTGAGAAGAGATGACCGGAGACCATGCCAGCACCCCGTGACACCGTCAGTGTGACTGTCCTGCATTTCCATCAGGTGCCTCGTAGGAAATGCAGAGAATCCCGTAAATTGAGGTTAAAGTCCCATTGAATGTGACAGTATTGAGCTTAAGGTACTTCAATACGTTATGAAGTATTAGGGTGAAGCACAAAATCGAATGGAATATAAAATGGTGCAATAAGGGTGCAATAAGTTTAATATTCACAGAACAGGAATCTTTAATCTGCAGCGTGACTTTTTAATGCGTTTTTCAAGGTCACTGAGCAGCTTTTATGAATTTCCTCCCTATTACACCCTCACTGTAACGTTCTACTTCCAGAGGTGTCGCTGTTCATGTTCCACGTTTAATAAGGGCTAAATTAATAGTCTAACGTTTGAGGAATTCCAAAAATGGGGACTTCTGTCTGGGATGTGATAGGTAATCATTCCGAAGTCCTGTATGCCCTGGCCAGGCTCCAGAACCCGCTTGTCTGTGGAGCAGACCCTGGCCCCAGAACCCGCTTGTCTGTGGAGCAGACCCTGGCCCCAGAACCCGCTTGTCTGTGGAGCAGAGCCTGGCTCCTCTCATCTTCTGTTGTCCAGGCCTGGCACTGTGGCTGCTCATGGACCTTTTCCTCTTCCCAGCATCACCTCAGCGAGCTCCTGACCAGGAAGTGGCTGGGTGGCTCTCATGCCGTGGACACCATCTGTGTCACCTTGGAGGACTACTTCAACGACTTCTCCAAGATCAAGAAGCCCTACAGCCAGGTAGGTCGCGTAAGGCGGAGCGCGGCACCGGGCCCGACGCGGGCTTCTGCGTGAGGCTGCTCTGGGGCGCCATGCCCAGATGACGAGAGCCCTGCACCTGATGGTTCCCCCATGAGATGTGACCAAGGCTGTGCACGCCGCCCTGCAGGACATGACGCGCGAGGCGCACCGCAGGGTGGTGCAGGAGTACCTCAAGGCCGTGCTGCAGAAACGCGTCACCTTCAAGAACGCCGACGAGCGGCGGGAGGGCGCCGAGCGCATGATCAAGGAGGCGGAGCAGTTCAAGTCCCTCTTCAGGAAGCTCTCCGCTGCAAGTAGCCCCGCCTTCCTCACGTGCCCTTAACCTGGAATCTCACCATCGTCTTCGTCATGTCTGTGTCAGGTTCACAGAGTTCTCTGGGACCGTGTGTGTGTGCGTAGTGCGCGCGTGTGTGTGTGTGCTCATTCCTCACATTCGTTCTATCTTTACCTCTAATAGCTACTTCACAGATGGGTGTCCTTGGCATAATTGTTCAGTGGCAGGGCCTGTTCTCAGACTAAAACCTGAAGCTCTTTCGTTTGCAAGTCCCTGAAGCCACTAGGTGGCCCGCTTCCACTGAGACAGAGGCACTAAGTCAGGGAGCTTCAAATCTGGACCTCGATTCCAGTTCCAGTCCGCGTTCTCACTTCTGCCATGTACTTAGTTTACTAATGGCTGATTCTGATTGGCCAGAGGCTTCACAGCTGGCTCACAGGTAAAGGAAGGCTGGAAACTCAGCAGGGCTCGGACCCTGAGGACCGTGACTTGAGTAGCCCTGCACTGAAAGCTCTCCTGATGCATTTCAGGGGGAGGACACCGACCGTCTCTGTGACAGCATAGCCGCCATCGCTGAGGTCTTCAAGCTGACGGACCCCTCTCTTCTCTGCCTAGAAGTCTCCACCCTGGTCTCCAAGTACCCTGACATCAGGTGAGACCCCCCCCCCCCCCCCGAAGTGATCAGGACTTTGACGTTGGCCCCCATTGCATGATGGGTAACACGATTCCCCGAGGAGCGTCTGATGGTCTGCGCTCCCTCAGGGACGAGCACGTGGTGGCCCTGCTGGCCGTACGCGGGGACGCCTCCAGGGACATGAGGCAGACCATAATCGAGACGCTGACCCAGAGCAAGTCCTCGCTGCCAGCCACCGCGCAGCCCATCTTCAAGGACATCACCGTGTCCTCCACCACCTCCATGGCCGTGCCCAAGCTGCTGAAGTAGGTGTGGGTGCGGCGCCGTGCCCGGTATCTGCATGGACGTGCCCTCCCTAAAAGCGGGTATCTCCTGAGGGAGCAGCTGACTGACGATCTGCAGGAGGGTCTGATACCCGGGTGGCACGACGTGGCGACGAGTCAAAGCGAATCATCTGAAGGACAGAGACCCTCCGTGCTCGGAGCCGTGCTAATCCACCTGAATGCGGGCAGTGGCTTAACTCTGGTCAGTGGGTTTAACAGCTTCGGAAAGTATTTAATCTTTTATTAAAACTCACAGTTTATCATCTGCCTGCTTCCTACGTCCAGACCAAGATTCTGTTTCAACCAACCAGTTCATTACTCTCTGACTGTGACTCTTTATACTCAACTGGTTGGTTGAAACAAAATCTTGGTCTGGACTTGTACTCCCTGGACCCGAACTACCTGGCTCAGCCGGAGGATTGTTGTCGTTGTGAATATTTAATAAAATAACACTTGTCAGTATGGAATGGTGTGTGAAATAGATGGTGAACATCCTTGGATTTCCTCTGTAACATTCAAAGGTCTAGTTCCCACCCTGCAGTATTGAAAGGCTGCATGTTGCTTTGTCCTTGTTTCGCAGAGCTGCTGTTCCTCTTTCTGTCAGGTTGTAAAAATAAAGCCCTGTGGCAGTTGATTTTAAAGCCGCAATCTAGCCAGCGGCCAGGTGGGGGCGCTGTGACGGTACCGACAGCTGTAGCAAGGCAGCTGTCGGGCACTGAGTTGCGTGACCTCTGCTAATTGTTGTTGTTATTCTGATCCTGTTTGGTCTAACATGGAAAGTGACTCAGATAGCAGCCACTGATACTGTTTTAAACCCGTGAATCAATGATCCGCTCCGTTTTAGTCTTGGCAGTTTGCTTGGAAATAGGACCTACTGTTTTTTATAATGTAATGGAAGGTCTGGGAAGACTGGGAAGGGCAGAACCAGACTGGCGAGGTAGGTCAGGCTAAGAAGGGGCAGTCGTGTGCTCATTCACGCACGTGTGGCCAGGTGAAGCAGCACCCTTTACGCTATGGAGCGGAATCCTGGATTGATGATTTGTTTACCGTAATTCACTTAATAGATGGATCAAGCCTAATGAATGAACTCTGCTGGAAAGAGGCCATCCTGCAGTTGGCTTTGAGTGATGAAAGCGATGGAAAACACCCTTACATCACTGTACTTGTCTAATACTGCCCCCTTCTGGATAATTTAATATATGCAATTTATACGCTACACTGAAGTGCATTTTTTTTATATATATATTTGTGATTTTTAAAGGTATGCTCAGGTACATTCATTCACAAACGAATTATGAGACAAATTCAGGAACTACAACAAACTTCCAATATTTTATTTTTAATAAGTGCTCTTCTGCCTGCTTGCTCTAGGAATGCAGTTATACTCTAGCCAAAGATTAACAAAAAAATAATTTATATAAACTTGCACTGGGGTTGTCAGCATATCTGGACACTGAAGCAGCTGTGATTAAGTTGGGAGTATGAGTGATACACTCTGTCCTCCCGTTAATCCAGTTTAGTCCTCTGCTCTGGCTTATAATGGCAAATGATCTCCACCAGGACATATGTGTTTATGAGCAGGAAGAGCAGGCCGGCCAGCCAGACGAGCACAAAGGTATTCTGTCCCTCAAACTCCAAGAGGTATGCTGGGGCTAACCACACCGCCTGGGAGACAAAGCCAACAACACGACTGTCAGGATAAACATTCCTCATCTATCCACTGTCTGTCACAGGACTTTGAATGATGCCCTACGGCCAAAAACACGGCTGAATGGATATGTCCAGGACAAATGTTTTGGGGAGTTGTGCTGAAATCTAGCAGTTTCCTGAAGTATGTAAATAACTGCAGTGCAGCGTCTTGTACGTCTATTACGTGGCTGGTAAATCACAGCCAGTGCCGAACCGGAGTTACCTGTCCAGCGAACCAAAGCACCAGGAGAGCCAGTCCCCTCCTGAGTGACATGGCGAGCCGAGGGAGGACTAGCGGCATGAGGCACAGGTACCACAGGAAGCACTGTAACAGACAGGAAGCAGGGTTAACGGTGCCACAGGAAGCACTGTAACAGACAGGAAGCAGGGTTAACGGTGCCACAGGAAGCACTGTAACAGACAGCACACAAGTCAATCTGTGCATCAACCTGCAGCTCAGTACGTTTTTTATAACTATATGTATTTTGGCTGGAAGCAACAACGTCCGTCCATCCATCAATCCATTATCTCCCGCAACAACGTTCACTGGAATAATATTCTCCTATCACAATTATTTGCGTGAGACAATTTATTTTGACTTGATCATTATGAATTTCAAGGTACTTCTATGGGCTACAGACATGGAGCGGGGGCTGGTACCTGGGACGTGCACACTTTATTGAAGCAGACAAAGATGGCCGTGTTCAGGAAGCAGCAGAAGGCCAGGTCAGAGTGGTAGGCCAGTGAGGTGAGCAGGAGCAGCGCTAGCTGGGGCAGGAATGCGGCCAGGCCCAGCGCCAGGCTCCAGGAGCTCTCCGCGGTCAGGTACAGCATGTAGAAGTAGGCAGAGAAGTTATGCCGGATGTCCCTCCTGGTCAGGTGGTAGAGGTAAGTTTCCTGCAGGAATTCCCAGCCGTACCTTTGCCAAGGAAAGACAAGGAGGATCACAGCCGAGCAGGACCCAGGCCGGCAGATAAGCCTCATCATCGACGGCAGAAACTTCAAGCTCAAATGAAGCAGGAGGAAGCTTCAAATGGAGATGCATGGCTTATGGTTCCCTCCAAAATATAAACCACGGCTGCCCCCAAAATGCTGCGTATAACTGCCCGACTGACGGGTTCGTTCCTTTCTGCCAGGTTCACTTACATCTGGTAGAACAGTAAAGTAAATCCGCAGAAGACCGATCCGGAAACAGCGGCAAACACAAGCAGGTCCCTGTTTAAGAACCTCCGGAGGGCTTTCACCAGCTTTCCTCCACAGTGGGGTGGTACCGTGTCCGAGGTGCCGCGTCCCGGGGCGGCCCGGAGTGACAGGGCGATGGGCAGGGCGTAGGTCACCGGGTAAATCTTCATGTGCACCGAGAGCCCGTAGAAGGCGCCTGCTCGGGCCGGGTGCCCATCCTCCAGGCAGGCCAGCGTGGCGAGCACCAGGGCGGCCAGCAGGCCCTCCGCGTTCCCCCGGCTGGAGACGCCAGCGGGCAGGGGGTTCAGCAACCACAGGGAGCAGTACCGACAGGCCAGCTGACACGGCATCCCCCGCCGGCGCAGGATGCTGTACGTCAGGTAGCCAGAGATGAGGTCACATGCCATGAAGAGCAGCTTCCCAAAGTGCACGCTCAGGTAGATGTTAGGGGCCAGCATCCAGGCCAGCAGGGGGGTGTAGCGGTAAGTGGATCTCCTGTACGGCGACGCGCCCTATTAAACGTCACATAGGCAGGGATGCACGTAAGTCCGCATTCACCTTAAAAAGCGAAATGTGCGGCATTCGATTGGTAAAACAGCGCATACATATTTTATGTGTATTTGCACTGCTGTGACGAGAAAATACCGTGCATTTTTACCTTTATACCGCAAATGGAAGACGAATCAGTATATAAAGATTAAAATGCACGATAATTTCTTGTCATATTAGTGCAGATGCGTGAGCTGTCACAACAATCGATTGCTCTGCATATAGACAAACAATATAACGACTGCAAGAACACGTTCATTGTGATTTCTCTTAGAACTGCATGCAATATACAGATTTTGTGCAATATCACAAGCCACAGAACGTATTTATAAAGCGCCAGAATACAGAATTTAACCAGACGTAACCAACCTGTGTGACGAATCTGGATGCATCTGTGAATACGTGGTAGTCGATGTCTGTGTATTTCACCTCCATAGTTTCATCCTGATACATCCCAAAGAAAGTCATGAGAATTCGCATCAGAAGCGCCGAAGCGAATAACAGCCGCTTCCCGGTCAGGACGGCGCCCGCCCGGTCCATGGCGGGGACCGTGACTGTGTTCATGGCTCCTGACCCGCACCTATAAGCCTAAAGGTGAAGCACGCCGTGCATGCTGCTATGACACTGCGTCCCTTAAGCCGCTACATCCCTCATCTATCATAACTATAACCATACACAACACAGACAGCTAGCCCTCCGCTCCGATGCGCCGTAAGAAAAGACCTAAACAGGGGTGTCCTGACGCCAGCCGGGCCCCCAGCCTGCGATTCGCCAAGACGCCTTCACTTCCGTATGAGTGCGCCAATGGCTTTAAGCAGGAAGCCTGCGACCCCGAAAGTGGTTCTCCGTCGCTTTTCCGCGCGTCAGTGCTTTAATATGGAGCGAGACATGAGCCGCATGTACGGACAGACGCTGGCGACGACACCCACATGTTTAGGGAAAATGTGGGCCTGCTATTTTCTTTAAAATGGGAGAGATTATTGTGGAAACCTGGTGTTTTTCCTCGCGTACCCGTTTGACGTCATCTTCCCTGGCCGAAGACCAGTAACCAGTTTCAATACTAAATGCAGAGGACGGTAAAAGTCCCCGGATGCTGGGGTGAGTCTCAATACCAAGGACGAAGAAAAGCATGGGATTGGTCTCGTTCGGCGAGGATGCAGCTGACTTATCGCTCCTGTCAAGCCCCACAAGTAGGGAGCGGACGGATAACCTCCATTGCCATTCTGCGGTGTCGCCTTGAGTAATGAGGTTTTCCAAATTATGGTGTTGTATAAAACGCACATTTTCTGTCTGAAAAATAATCAGGAATAATCTGCAACGAACCTTCAGACTGAGCGCCCACTGGCGCCGTAAAAGCTCATGACTGACATTATTCCTTAGTATGAAGCGACTCAAAACGCGTTAAATCAGTTGCCTACTTGGTCTTACGTATTTTCCTTTTTAAAGAATGGAGTGGTGTAGTTCCGAAAGCCTGTTATATGATTACTTAAATGCACATACACTACTCCCTTGCACATTACAGATACATGGCGCACCGGCTAAGCATAAGCCGCACAGCGCCGCTTGGACCTTGTAAGAAATGTTTGTCACCAAGCACAAAACAGCGAAACAAACAAGCAAGAGACGGTCTATCGATCGCATGTGATTAGTGACATACAAAGTCAGTGTGATAAATTTTATTTATTGCTGAAAAATCTTGGGGGAGGGGGTCAATTTGCATAAAAGTCAACTTTGCTTTAGAAATATTTACCTTACTAGTTAGTACACAACATTTAAATATCAAAGTACAGTAAACAGACTGGAGGTAATATGCCCTCCTTGTAACACAGCATTTCAATCCTTCGTAGAAATGTAACAAACGGGAGGTTCCGATGTAGTCTATATAATCACGTAGGTCACTCAGCTCAAATACCTAGTCCACATTTATTCTTCCTTATTTTTTAATGCATTACTGCGATTTTAATCAAAATAAATTCCACATCACCCCACTGTTCATTTTACGTCAATATAAATGACATAGTTTTCGCCATTACAAAATGAAGGACTTGTACGCGCAACTCGGGAGTGTTAAGAAATACTTTAAAAACCATTTTCACCATTTTAAAGAAACTAACGATAAAGTAGTTCTCTCCGACAATCGGTCAGAGACCTCCAAGAAAGAAAAAAAAGAAAATCCCATTTTCTTGGAACTGGCTAGAATCAAGCAAACAGGACGTGTATATTCCCCACCACAGAGTAAACACAGATGTGCTTCTCGAATGTTCCTGCAAATTTTAGAAATCCTCTCCAGCCTGGACGTGTCTTATGCTTTAGTGTGTGTGCCTCAACATATGTGAACACGTGCATAAGTACACGAAGCATGCCGGACAGAGCCGCTGGGGGGGGAAAAAGAAAAGAAAACAACAAAAAGAGAATAATAATCTAATTTGCATCCAGGGTGACCACAACAGAGGCTACGGTCGGCTCGCCACAGACACTGCAAATACGCTCGCATGGAAATCAATGACGCCTCTGAACTACGCCCTCTTCTGGCCACATCGGGAGTGCATAATGTCCAAAAGGTATACTGAATGCATAACGGCGACGTGGGTAGGCAGCAGCGCCCCCACACCGAGCAGGGCTGCCTCAGTGCACTTACGGACCAAGGGGATTAACTCCAAGTAGCTATAGTGCATATTGACAATTACAACAGAGCAGCATTAAACGTAATGACGTGACGTACACATGACGATTAACTCCTTAATATACGCTTCACATTTTATCAAGTTGCAGATGCTTTTGAAACAATTACTTTGTAACATCAAGAAACTGCCAGAAAAGTATGAAATTCAAATAAAACATTGTACATTCAAAACTGTTTCCAAAGAAATTCCGGAACACAGGACATGTGTGCGGTATGCAAAGAAGTCCATACAAACCATATCCTTAAACATTTACACATTGTACTTTAAATAAATATAAAAGTTGCATTTTTAGACAATTAGCTGCTGTAACAGTCCTTGATAGTTTTCCTTCCCTCCTTTGCATTCCCACCTTTCAAACAGCTCCGCATCTGTAATTTAACATACCCATTCTTTCCAAGAGGCACAGGGCACAGATACAACACAGTCATTCGTGGTTCTGTTTTAGAGTTTTTCTCTTCTTTTTTTTTTTTTTAATAAGCAAATTGTGCATTGAGATGTTAATGAAATCTGTCTGAACTATGAGCTGACATCGGACCTGTAGCGATAGATACAAAGACTGCAGTTGTTCATACAGAAAGAACCGGAGAACAGGAAGCAGACATATACAATGATAAAAGTCTCCCTCACACAAACCAAACCCTAATAGAATTCCCCTGCACCCCCTGAATAAGATCAAATCTCCAGGCCTTCATACTCCTTTAAGAGACATGGTGATTTTTACAATTTAAGAAAATAACTTTGTAAACAGGTGTCAGGTGTCACTCGCCGGCCTTCAGTGCAAAGTCCCGGGGGCCGCGGAGGAGAGTCCGCCTTCAGCGAGGGCTTCCTCTCACCTTGGCAGAGGCGAGTTTCAGGCACAAAATGTTTACAGGTTCTCCAATCCCCCAAAGCACATTCTAAAAGGTGGTAGGATTTAAAAAAAAAAAAACAAAAAACAAAACAGACCCTTAAAAACTACAGGCCTCTGGAATATTTTTTTGTGGCTGAACTGGAGCTGCAGTGCTCTTCAGTCGGCTTTGTCCAGTCCGTCTGAAGCATGAGGGCCGACGATCTTCAGCCGAAAGCCACCTGAAAGACAGAGAGGGAGGGAGGATCACTTCACATGCCAGGAGACATGGAGAGACCATGGCAGGAAGGAGAAAAATGGAAAAAAAAAATGAGGCAAAAACGGAAGGCTCTACGGGCCCTAACTCCACATGGGCGCCTACAGACAGCCAGTCCCGCGCAGTTACACCGCTTCAGCTCGGGGTTCTTTTCAGATATATAAATAAAGGAAGGGGGGAAAAAAGACCCCACAGTTTGGGCGTCAACGGGGGTGGGGGGGGCGTGCTGCTGTACCACTGTACAGCCCCTTCCTCCTGTTAAAGTCTTGTAGGCTGGTGGAGGGCGCCCCCCGCAGGGAAAAGTCAACCTTGCGCACCTAAGCATTGACTGTGCGGGGGGGAGGCAGCTCGGAGGCTCTTCTCACTTGGGGGGGAACGGCAGGGTTAGTAGGGGTCCTCTCCAGTCCCTCCCCCTGACTGTGGTAACATTACCTTGCTGCGCTGCGTCAATGGAGGGCTGTTTGCAATCCTGTGCATAGTGCCCACTGACCCCACAGTTGTAGCAGGACGCGCCGGTGCCCTTCTTCAGGCCGGGCAGCAATCCCACCGACGGGAAGAGCGGCTGGTAAATGCGGCCGAAGGCGGCCAGGTGCTGCAGGCCGTAGCCGGCCTGGGCCCCCAGCACGGGCTCGGAGGATGTGTACAGTGGCAGCCTGCTGCCGTAGGGCGAGGGCGCCGCTGGGAAGAAGGGCAGCTGGGTGGCGCCGGAGCTCCCGGCCCCCTGGCTGAGGTAGGCACCGCCCCCACCGCCGCAGAGCGACGTCAGGTGCAGGAAGGGCTGCATGCTGAATGCCTGCTGCGCCATCTGGGGTGCATAGCAGTAGCTGGGCGGGTGCATGTTTCCGCAGCTGCCGCGGCAGCCGCAGGCACCGCAGCCCGCTGGCTGAGGAGGGCCGGGCTGCGGCTGCTGAGGGGCGGGGCCGTTGATGAAGGAGGTGCCGTCACTCTGGGCGGTGCTGTGCGTCAGGGCGGGGCTCGGCGTGGGGGCGGGGCCAGGAACATGCGTGGGCACCGCGGCGGCCTGCGACTGGCCTGGCGTGGAGGTGCCGAAGGAAGCGGGGGGCCCGGTCAGCGTGGGGGTGGCGAGGCTGTAGGGCGAGGGCAGGGCGGACGGCAGAGACATCCCTGGGGCTTTGTGATGGGGCTCCGGCAGGGAAGGCTCGGTGCTGGGGAAGGCTGCCTGCAGGGGGGACACGTAGGCGGGGCTGGGCGGGATCACGCTGATGGCGCCCATTGGTGGCTGGTGCACTGTGGCGGAGGCCCCGCCATCAGAGATGGGAGGGCCAGGAGCGGGGCTGGGGATGGGGGCAGTCTTGAAGCGCTGAACCAGGGGCTGGTTGACCGGGCTGATGGGGGGCAGCAGGCCCAGCTGCGAGGGGGGTGCCGGCGGAAGCTTCTCGACGTCCCCTAGGGGCCCCGTGGGGAGGGGCTCGCGGAAGGCGGCGGGCAGCGGCAGCATCACACCCCCGGCTGGCTTCTCTGTCCTGCTGGTGCCGTTCGGCACCACAAATGCCACAGGCTGCATGAAGGCCATCGGGGGGAGCTCGGGAGGAGCCGGGGGCCCATCCCGCTGCGCTCCGGGCGGCATGGGTCGCACGGTGGCCACGACGGCGCCCCCTACAGGCTTGCCGAGCAGGATGCTGTCTGCTCTGCCTTTACTGGAGTCGTCGGAGTTACTGTCCGTTTCTGCGGGAAGGATCAGAATGCAGAGCTTCATCATGAAGGGCCGACATCTTCAGGAAGGCACCAGGGTGCAGATTTAACGGCGCCGCCCTGGTGTGCATTAACCGCGAGCACCAACTGCGGGAGACACGCCCACCTCTGTCCTTCTCGTCCTCGCTCTCCAGGCTCTCCCGCCCATCATGCTGCGGACTGGAGGGGGAGCTGTAGCTCTCCGAGGACGTCTCCCCATAGGCATCTGGGCCCAGCCCTGTGGCCACAAGCACAGCACATTCACATGTGGGAGTTTAAATCAAGACAACTGCCCCTTATGTAAGGCTCTTCCTCAGCTACAGAACGATCGACAGTGCTCGGCATGGCGAGGTCTGGATTGTATGGCTCTTTCCTACTGACAGTTAAGTGAAAGTTAATTAAACAAGAATGTATCTGCAACGAAACCTGGCAGCTGGTGAGTATTAGTGTGGAGACGCCAACATGCCTGGCCCTGCCAGGTCCCACCCTTCCCCATGCCTCGCCCCACCCTTCCCAGCCCTGGACTGCCCCGCCCATGCCCGGCCCAATCCAAGCTGGCAGGAACAGCAGCAGCCGCCTGCGCAGAGAATGAAGAGGAGCTCACAATGGCTACAGCCCGGCCTGCCCTCCTGAGGGGCTCACGACCTTTACCTTTGCCATCCAGCTGCTACATGAGCTGCGGAGTACCCGGCCTGCCCTCCCGAGGGGCTCACACCTTTACCTTTGCCGCCCGGCTGCCACGTGAGCTGCAGAGTACCCGGCCTGCCCTCCCTAGGGGCTCGCGACCTTTACCTTTGCCATCTGGCTGCCGAGGGCCCAGCCTGCCCTCACAAGGGGCTCGCGACCTTTACCTTTTCCGCCCGGCTGCCGCGTGAGCTGCGGAGGGCCCAGTCTGCCCACCCCATTAGAGGCAGAGGCCGCCTTGGCCTCTGGCTTCTTCAGCTTCTCCCTGAGGAGACAAACAGGGGGCTGTCACATGTCACCATGGGGCCAGGCGCACAGACCCTGCCCCTCTGACAAGAATATGGCTGCAGATCTACTACGTGGCTGATCCACTGTGGGACGTTAGATCCACATGAGACTTATTCTGAAATTCCGCGGTATTGACGGAAGTGACGTCACTTCTGTTTAGAAGTGGAATGGTTTTATTTGCTATAAGTATGGGGATGGTTTTTGTTTTTTGACTGCTATAAAACAAATTGTGTTTAGGTAACTGCATTTGGTTAATAGTTTAATTCACTATCATGTGTAGATTGCTCTGGTCTATTGAATAGTGTTATACACATACATATATACATTAAGTGTAAGTCAGCCTGACTCAAAACAAACTTTTTATTTTGAATAGCGCGTGTTTATCGTAACCCTTACCATTAAGATTTAGCGTTGTCTGAGAAATTTCAGTTATACAGACATTATACAGCAGCAGCATAACTTGCACAGAAGGAAATATTGTCCTTTGAGAAATCATTCCTTAACGGTACGTTATTTAAAACTCAAACATTAATTGGTGTAGTTTTTCTATATATCCAACACAAAACAATAGCTGTAAGAATTACATTTTAAATAGTGCACATCATCAATTACAATGTAGCAGATAACAAAAAAATTCTCCATATTGAATGAAAATAAAACAGTACTGGGACCACAGTGGACTTCCGGTCTGTCAGCAGGTCTGCCTCACAGAGGATCTCCCTCAAAGCGTGCTTGCCTCACAGAGGATCTCCCTCAAAGCGTGTTTGCCTCACAGAGGATCTCCCTCAAAGCGTGTTTGCCTCACCTTGAATATACCGCACAGAGGATCTCCCTCACAAGGTGTCTGCCTCACAGAAGATATAACTCATGGAAGATCTCTGAGAATCTGCCTCACTGCGCTTCTGCCTTACCGAGAATCTGCCTCACTGCGCTTCTACCTTACCAAGAATCTGCCTCACCAAGAATCTGCCTCACTGCGCTTCTGCCTTACCGAGAATCTGCCTCACTGCGCTTCTACCTTACCGAGAATCTGCCTCACTGCGTGTCTGCAGCCAGACCCTTCTCCCTCTGACACCACCACCAGCAATTCAGGTCCTCTGGGGAACCTGTGGCAGCTGCCCAAACCAGGTTACCATGCTGGAATGCTCCCCTGGGTTACTAAACCATGGGTTAACCAGGTAACAATGGCCCACTTTGTGCCGTTTCCCCTAATTGAGTGACCAGCTGTCCCGCTGGCCCACGGCCCCCAGTGTGATGCTCCTTACCGGTCTGCTGCCGAAGCTCTCACTTTGCTCTTGTTGGCTGGTGGCCCGGCTCGTTTCTCATCGCCGGGGTGCTGTTGACGGAAGACAGACTCAGGAGCCATGGACACAAGCCAGCTGACGCACGGGGGGGGGGGGGGTTCCTCAGGGTCTGAGCACTGAGGAAGCAGGAGACCCACTTCTGGATTCGCCGCTCCTACCACATCCCTGAACCTGGAGTAAAGCCCCCTCACGCTACCTGCCATTACCACCCACTGGACCATCATCCATCTCCATCAGCTAAACTGATGGGAGGGGGGTCCACAAAGCACACATGGCAAAGGAAGAATAAACGCAGGTGAAAATACAAGGGGGTGGCAGAAAATGGCAATGACCAGCAGGCTCCCCCCATTCCATAATGCCAGGCTGAGGTCTCTGCCCGGCCGGTTCTGACCCGCACACAGTTCTGACCCGTGTGTAGCAAGCTGGGGCCCAGCCGGTTCTGACCTGCACACACCTGTATGCCCGGCCCATCCTAACCTCACATACCTTCTGTGGTCCCGCCCCACAGGGATCCGGGCCAGACTTCTGCACAGGATTCTTCCTCATCCAGTCTGTCACTCCATTCAGCTCTGGGTGGGGGGGCCTCCGACTGTCAGTCTGTGGGCTCCTTACACCCTGGAGGCTTTGAGGGGGACAGGGAGGGGCCATTAGTATATGGGGGACACTGACCCTCAGCACAAGCCAAGCTATGAGCAGAGTAAGCAGCGGCACGGTGCTGCCCCCTGCAGGCTCACCCCAGGCCCGGGCTCTTGCTTCCAGGCTTCTTGCGGTACCCAAGAATGAAAGACTCCATGTCTGGCGGGGGGGGAGAGAGGAACTCATGAGCAGAGTGAGCGTGGCCGTCACACCGCCTCCCACAGGTCGCTGGGGAAACGGCAGCCTGGGACATTCCTTCAGAGAGCAAGAATGCCCAGCTCTCATTTCCTGTCCCGCTCCGGCTGTGCAGAGGCATCCATATCAGATTTACGGAATCGTTTTAGTGTTTAGTCCACATAGAGCCCATACATTTGCAATAACACGAGTAGTACAACAACTACAGTACAAGCAGCACTATTCCGTTACAGGATTTCCAGTGTTTGCAGCTTGAACTGATCATTTAAATCAATCAAGTCTCATTTGAAATGAACAATTGTGAAAGAAAAACACACACACAGCGAAACGTCTGCTTCCTTCGGTCCCTGGGAGAGAGAGGTTTGCTTGAGCTTACGCACTGCAGGCAGTCACTGGGGACAAGGTTTAAACCTCGCTTCATAATTACAGTTTATCTAATAAAAATGTACATGATGAAAGAGCGTGTGCGCCACTCTCCGACGCAGATTAATTTGGGAAAATGGGGGTTGGCAGGGGTGAAATCTGGGAGTGCGGCACATGCCATGCTGCGCCAACGGTAATTAGCGAGCAGAGAACGTCTCAGGCTGCGTTAAGCACCGTAATCAGGCACGGGAAGCAGCGTTATGGTACAAAGAGCTTTATTTAAACACACAGTAATGAGCTGTGCTTTTAAAAGCTTTACTGTTTCTGTGTCTAGAAGTGCTTATATAGCGCCTTGGCCTGTGTAGGGCTGCGCGATTCTGACAAAAAGGGTGAATCATGATTGTTTTCCTCAGAATTAGATTCTCTGTAACAATTTTTTGTTCTTAAATTTTAACATTTATTGCGCTCAAACTGCAGAAGGAAACAACAAAACATGACTGTGCCAAACGTGTGACTGATCCAGGACCAGCATATCAACTCCTGACAACAGAAAAGAAACACTCAACTGGCCATTCGATTAGGGCAACCAAGACAGCCAGACCAAATGTTCCATCAACAAAAGGGTCAGATGGGTAATTTTTTGGTACTTTGGGGTGGGACGCTTTCTTTGTCGAACGGTTATGCAAATAGCCTGCCTCTGAAACGCAATATAATCAGCGTCTTGAAAGCAGTCGTGAACTTAGAAAATAACGATAAACAAGGTCAAATAATAATAATAATAATAATAGATGCATGGACAAATGAAGTGACCCAAGCCTAAACTGCGATCTGGTCGGAAGAACCAGAGATCAGGATAGCATGAAAAGAAAGAAAGTATTTTGTATAATGTAATAGGACAGCACGGTATCTCAGAAGCATTAGATGGAGGCTGATCACAGTCATGTGGTGACACACAGACCCTGAACCCCCCTCCCACTGTGTAAGGTGGTTCATGCCATCTCAGAAGCATTAGATGGAGGCTGATCACAGTCATGTGGTGACACACAGACCCTGAAGCCCCCTCCCACTGTGTAAGGTGGTTCACGCCATCTCAGAAGCATTAGATGGAGGCTGATCACAGTCATGTGGTGACATACAGACCCTAACCCCCTTCCCACTTTGTAGGGTGGTTCACTCCGTGTTTGGAGTGGCAGAGGTAGTACTCACGCGCACCTTCCTCCTGGCTCGAGGCCTCGGAACCGTCCTCCACGAAGTGCTCGCCTGCTGTAGCAGGCTTCCCCAGGGAGGGCGCTGTACCTGCAGAAGGAGATGACAGCGGCCGGGGCCGTGAGGGGCGAAGGTGTCCGGCTAGGGCCTGAGCACCAGGAGCACTAGAATCGCGCAGCCATTGTGCTCTGGTGTGTGTTCACCAGGATGGCTTCTAACAGAAGAGCAGCTGGATGTTCAACCACATGAAGGCAAAACCACTGTGCTATTATCGGAGCACGAAGGTGCTGTTTACATCGAAGTGACGGCTATTTCAAAAGAAACAGAAATATGCACATAAATTTATGCTCCCCGCCCCGCCTTGCATTAACCTGCTGATGATCAGTTTGTACTTTCCGATATTTTCAGGTGAATCACCAACATTACAAACTTTTTCTCAGGTCTAAAAGATGCATCTCAACCACAGTATTTCTATAATTCAGCAAACCCGTCAATGTTCCCATTTTCTGAGTGTGAAAACCCTCTGACTTCTGCCTTTTGTGTTAAAAATACTCAGAATAACAGAAATCAGCTTGAGTGTACTTGAAGCCTAGTGACACATACTTCACTTTTGCATGTTTTGGGCTGGGGACGGTCTGCATGTAGCTGCGGAGGTGCATGGTTGTGGTCGGGACATGCACACAGCAGTGATACTCCACCAGACCAGCAGAGGGCAGACGTATTGCTACACATAAAGCATGATATCTCCTCAATACACACAAGTCGCCCCCAATCTAAGCGCAGCCTGTGGACTGAAACATTGGTACTGTGCCTTCAAACATAAGTGTTTGGGGACTGCAGAACATCAGAGAGCCCAAGGACCTCACAGAACCAAGCCCACCAGCACTGGTAGGATAGCACTTGGAATGTCACCCTCCACAGCCGGGATATATTTGGTTTCTGGGCTCTCGGTAAAACAAAAACATTTGATAAATACTCCCCTGCTTTGTATCCTCATAAACACAGCAGGGAGAGACACAGAGCGGCCTCCACCTGACACAGCCGCCCGCACCAGCCGTGGTTGGAGGTGTGACACTGTCTGCTCTTATCCCACAATGCACCACTCCATCCTCCTGTGATTTATGCTATGTTCCATTTGAACTGGGAAGTCGGAATTTCCAAGTTCCTGGTCGGAAATTCCAATAGACACGCCCCCCCTGAAGTCGGAATTCCGACTCGGAAAGTTAGAGGAACCTCTACAACCCCGACCTCAGAATTGAAGATGGCTGCTCCCTTCATCGGCAGAAGTGAATGCTGTAGTTATATACTGTTTATTATCACTTATGTCTTATTAGTGTGTCACAGTCGCTGTACACAGAGTGACACAATAGTCCTCACAATATTTTCTCTCTTGCCTCTGAAAATACAGAGTTCTTCCGGCCATTCCTTCTCAAAAAATGACTTTCCATTCCTGGTTTTCATTGATCACCACTATTTATTTTCTGGTAAGTACTAATAAATTTTGAGGTAAAGAGCAAATAAAATCAACAAGCAAACAAAAACGTACTTAACTGGAAGAACAATGGGGAATTACATCTCACACTGGTTTTTATACCATGGATGATAACCAAAGCTAATTTCTTTTAATTCAGAATTTCTCATTAGCTTTAATGAGAGGCAATTGGAGATGCCGATATGAAAGCAGGAAACTCGTTCTGTATTTATAAACCGCCCATGTTAAGCTGATTACACGCACTGTGGCTGAGGAAGCGGGGATATTGCACTCGGTGTTATGCTCACTAATGCAATTTAACGACCATGAAAATATTTACACTGTGCACAAATCACACAAAATAATAATCAGGGCACAGGGAGCCAATGGCTGAGGTCTGTGTGTGTGTGTGTGTGTGTGTGGGGGGGGGGGGGGGGGGGGGGGGGGGCACAGGGAGCCAATGGCTTGAAGTGAAAGTGTCATTTCCATTTGAGAACATCTTTAGCAATCAGAACAGGACACCTCACACCCCCCGTGGGAAACGTCACTGTTTGGCTGAGGACCGGGACTGAGGACCGGGACTGTGGACCGGGACCGTGCGCCGGGGTGGAGCCCTGATGCGGCTTCATTAAGCGGGCTGACGCGAGAGCAGCCGTCTCATTGGAGGACTGTATACCAGCCCCAGCCCCCTTTACAGTGCAGACGGCCTGTAGGTACTCACAGTGGCTGCAGCCTGGACTGGACGAGTCCGTCAGAAAGAAGCTACAGACCTTGGCAGACTTCCGAAAAGCAGGCGGCGTGGACAGGAACCTCTCCCTGTAGCACACAGAAACGGGACAGACATAGCAGGTTAGAGGCCAGTCTCCCAACATGGGCCCTTCCGGGTCACTCGAGCAACACCAGCGATACGGTACCAGTAATTACAGCTTAAATAAAGGTTTTCATGCTTTAGAGAGAGAAGCCAGACACAGAGTAATAACGAACGGAGAACCTGAATGGATACGGAGCCGTTCAGAAGCGGCAGAGGAAGACGAAAGCCCAAGGCAATGACATCAGCGACGCTGACCTACATACCGAAAGCGGGAGTTGTGCTTTAAAAAGGAAACTTTCCATTTCTACGACGCGAGACCCTCGCTAAGAAGCACGCAGCTTGGAACCACCGGGCACTTCCGCTCACATCAAGCACCACTGCAGGCAACGACTGTGGCGTGTAGCAATATCTGCTTAAAAAATGCGATGCAACAAACAGGAATCTGGTCCCCTTGAATCGATAATTTATTCTGCAAAATTGCCCTCCTGGGGGGGGTCATGCATTAAGAATGAAACTGCATAGCCTGGGTCACACAGATGTTAAAATTCCACGTGCATCTTATTTGTTTTGGGGGGAGGGGTCCGGACAGCGCACATGAACTGAAGCCCTGCCTCCCCCAGGGCGCTGCTGGCGGAATGGTTTCGTTTTGCAGAAAACGAAACGGCAGAGCGCAGGCCGAGCCCTGCTGGCTTCCAGACGGTGGTATTGTTGCCTTTGGGAGCCATCGGAAGAGCAGCCTGGCTGATGTTCACACTGCACCAACTCCAAATATGGGCAACTCCAGTGACACTGGGCTACAGGGCCGAGTTTCATTCAGGAAGCCAGGATATCACACAGTAACACACTCACAGCAGAAACACACACACAGACATGTTTGTATTCCTATTTGTGTGGAGACTGACCATTCATTTCTATGGGGAAAAACCCTAATTGCAACAACAAGCCCCCTACCCAGCCCTAAACTTAACCCTAAGTAACTAAACAAAACGCAAGAATTTTTTAGTTTTTTGACTGCAGTCACAGTTTTTTATTAAAATTGACCCACAAAGGCAAAATAACAGGTTTCTATCACACAGTGGGGACATCTGGTCTCCACAATATTATATACATCTCACACACACACACGCACACACACACAGAGCACAATAACAACAAATTCTATAAAAACTACTATCAACGCCATAAACCAGTAAGAAAACAAACATTTTTAAGAGATTACAGAAATAACACTCCTTGCAATGTCACGGCTCTCACACTCAAGCTGTTCGGCCTGCTGTCACTGGCTAAGGTCACCTTGCCAGTAAAGGAGGGAGAGAGCAGTGATACCCACCTCAGTGTCCCCTCCAGCTCCCTGCCCTCCAGCGCGTCCCCCTGGCTGAGTAACCTCAAGATGGCCTTCTCAAAGGAGTCCACAGCCTGCTCCTTTGGAAGCTGCGTTTCAGAGGTCAGCAGGAGTGATGGGTTAGATGTTAGACCTACCCAAGGAGAACCGCACCAAGGCAGGAAGCACCAGCTACCTCTAGGAGAGGCAGGACACCTTCTAACGTTACGTAGCCATGTACCCAAGAGACAATGCAGACACATTAACCAGAACAGCACATCTTTCGGGGCTGAGGTTGACGGAAGTGACGGAGCCCCCGTGAAAGCAGGAGAGCATGCGAACTCGGAGCTGAGCCCCTGACCCAAAAACTCGAGCTCGATCCTAAAACACCGAGCCGAGAAGCGGACATGCTCTCAAAACGTTCCTTACCTTTAACAAGAAGTTCTCCAGTTCAAGATGAGTTTTCGTTACGTTGCTTGATGTGGAGTCAGACCACTTCAACTAAGGGGAGGAAAAAACAATATCCTTAGAACTCAGATTTTTAATTTTAGTCCTCCAGACGTTTTAACAGAAAACATAATGGAACAGAATAATAAAATGGCAAGTTGATTGTTTATAAAGCTGGAACAAGCAGCTCCCCCGAGAAGAGCAGTCTATCTAAAGGAACCCAACACCAAAGGTCTGCTTTAAGTGCCAGACATGTGCGGCATTCATGGAGTTTAATGGGAACCGACAGGAACTCAACAAAACTAGTCCGAGATGAAACATAAGAACAGCCATTTCAGGGGATGTTCAGAGGGGATTCCAAAGCCTTGAAGCCAAAGAGAGTAAACTTCCAACAAATTACAAAGTCAGCCAACCAAAGACATGTTTGCTGACCTTCAACATTGTTACAATGCATAACGGCACTGGCTCTGTGAATCACACGTGAACAGTCAGATAGGACCATGGCGGCTGCCGAACGAACGAACAAACGAACCAACCAAACGGACAAACAAAAGGTGGGGGAGGGGAGGTCATCCTGACCTGGGTGTGTACATATGGGCCGGGGGGGGGGGGGGTTAAGACTGCTTCTGGAAAAATGAGTCACAGCTCAGTCCGGTGAAGTTCTGGCCCCCAACCCCCACCCCTCCCGGCATCTGCAGTCGCTTAGCAACCAGCACAAGCTCTGTTTTGTGCCGGAATGGAGACGCACTTGGAGATATTCCCAGCAACAATAAACACCTAATAAAGCCAGACATCAGATATGTTTGACTTGCTATAAAGCAGGGGAACACCGAGCACAGGGGACCCGTCCGTGTGGCTGGTGTTAAACAGAACCTAACAACCTTTCAGCGGCTCAGCCATCCCGACACATTTCCAGGGATGATTCTGACCACCTCACACACTTTCAGAGCCTTTATATCCTTAACAACCACGCTTTGCATCTGTAACAACCATGTTATTTTATTTAGAAAATCAGCTTTTTATTGTAACTTTTTATTGTACCAGACGCATCACCATGATCATGAGATCCTGACACATTCCTAGATCCGGCGTTCTTAGAAACGTAGCGCGTCTTGACGCAAGTTATTTCATGAACAAATAAGCAAAGTATTACTGCATCTCCCGGATTGCTGTACCCGATTTTTAACTGCTGGTTACTTCCTTATAATGTCAACATATTAAATGTTTCTAATATTACCAGACAATTGAAGTTTCACAGAAGGAGATTTTAGACTCTACGCCCTTGTAAAACGTCAAAATATTTCATGAATGAGACTAAAAGAAAAGATAAGATCATGTTTTGCAGCAGGACCTCATCCAGGCTTCAGTTAGGATTTGCCGAAATGCACCAGAGTATATTTGCATGAGGGAAACCGGCGTGAAGCTTTGAAGTGCAGACACAACTATCAACAAAGACTAAGTCCATTAACCAAAGAAAACACACCAATTATTTTCTTTGTATCATCTTTTGTGTTTATGTAGGGAAGTGATTTTTGGATCACAAGCATCCCAATAGACCGTGTGGGCGACTTCCAGAAGACCGTGATAAGCAGGCGAGTCCCAGGGCAGTACGGGCAGCTCAAGAGCATTCAGAAGAATCCTGCCAGAAAACCAGGAGAACATAGAGGAGTCGTACAGAAGATATAGTAAGGCTGTTAGAGGAATCTTAAGAGGTGGCCGACGTTTGATGGGTTTCAGATACACATCATGGAGGAGGTTTTGGGGGACCAATCAGAGGACAAGCAGTGGGTTAGAGTGACCAATCAGAAGGCAGTCAGTGGGTAGATTGACCAATAACAGGGCAAGCAGTGGGTTAGGGTGACAAATCAGAGGACAGGCAGTGGGTTATTAAACACTTTGAAATCACCTTGGAAAAGGCTCTGGGTTGGTCAGGGTGATGAGGACGCCCTATGAAAGCTCTGAAATATACTTCCTCTTAGTAGGGTCAAGAGTATTACAGCTGACATTGAATTTTGTGATCATCTCTTCCTATACAGTCAATGTCTATGAATCACCCACCACTTAACCAGCAAGAGCAGCTACCACCCTAAAGCAGAAACGCAGAAGCAAATAGTCGGTCCAGTGCGGTCAATAGCTCAGGACTAATCGAGATCTATAAACTGGCGCAACAGTGACACACTGGAATTCAAAAACCACACCTTCTTTGGTCAAAGCTCTTGAAGCACACGACCTGCGAAAATCTTCCATCCTCTGTGTTTCTCAAGCAGCCTGAATACAAAATTTGAAATGAAGTAGATATCAAGTTGTTTCATAAAAAAGGATAATATCCCAGTCAGGAAGGCTGTCCAAACCATTTATAAATCCCTTGGTAGATCTATAACAGCAACTCAAGCCTAAAGTGGCCATAATCGCAGGAAGGCTCTACTGAAGAGCGCTATTCCACTAAGCTGCTCCCAACGTAAACACTGCAGATAAATCGACAGCACCAAGTCTCGGCGGACTCCACTGCACACAACACTGCACACAACACTGCACACAACACTGCCTACAAAGCCAAAGCTTTCCAAATACTCTTCCACAGAACAATGTAGAGAGAACATCCTCTCCCTTGCAGCAGACCAGCTTTGGTTGATTATGCAGAGGCACGTTCCGAGTGCAATACCAGGCCACATCGCAACATATCCTGCAGTCAGTCAAAGTGACACGTCCATCATCTGAACAAGCAATCGACCCTTTTAAAGCATTATTGTGTTTGAGTACCTCCTGGACCTCAACAACACACAGACCGTGCCCAGTTGAGTCAATGAACATCTTCGCCTTCTGTGGACCAGAGATGAGCACATGCAAATGAGGTTCTGCTAGAGGAATGCGGACACATGAAAAGGAGGCTTAGGGAAAAAAAAACAAGAAAAACTTCATAGACAAAAGTGGGTGTGGACCAGCTGACTGGGGAACTTCCTGTTTATCATGGAGGCCAGCGGGAGGCCAGCGTCAAGCCCTCATAATCCGCAGAAGGATCTGGGGAACAAGCAGCTCCTTCATGGCTTAAATAACTCCATGCTGTCATTCAGGACTGCCTGTGAACAAGACCTACAGCGGCGGAAAAAGATGGCAAGATCTGCTAGCCTAAAACTCAAAACCTGCATTAGCTTGCATTACTATTCATATCATGACACGTATGAGGCCACGCTTAACCTGAGGGCATCAGCCAGTGGGGCGCTGTGGCTGAGGAACATCAACACACAAAACCCAAAGATATCCAAATATCCACTTGGGTCACTGCCAGTGTCTCTAACAAAGTCAACAGGGGCATGTAACTCTGGAGGCAGCCGTTATATAAAACACCCAAATAAAGCACAGTGCATTCACGCCGTTTCCAGTGCGTGATTCTGTCCAGAGGGAGCAATGAGTACAAAAACTCACTGCAACAGGCAATACAAATAAAACAAAAAATACAAAAACCACAGACAAGGCAAAGTAAGGAGCTCCGACCGCCGCCTGAGCAGGAGAGAACATGCCTTTGGTAGGACAAGAGAAGCTTATGAGAGCCAGGAAGGCCAGCTTGTCACTTCCTATCACCTTCATGCCCAAGGCCACAGTGACCCACGTTCCAGCTCGGCATTCCCCACCCCCCGGCAGACCTGTTGGTACGACCTGGACCCAATCTGCCCAATCGGCAGTAACCTCCTATCACCTTCATGCCCAAGGACTCAGTGGCCCATGGTCCAGCTCGGCATTCCCCACCCCCCGGCAAAATATGGAATAAACATCTTAAAACTACTTATCATGGTCTTTGCTGCAGAAAGTGCAGGGCACCATGTTGAGTTTTTGGCCACAGTTAGCAGACAGACCGACATGGGTCTGGAGCAGCCTGATGCTGATCTGTCACATGAGGTCAGAACAGCAACCTGCTGCTCTGTAAGCTACAGGAGCAGAGGCAGCTGTATCGCGGAAAAGCACAGCTGAGCGTTCACTGGAAAAACAGGCAATAACACAGAAATCAAATTAAACCAGGGAGCCCCAGATGCTGACAGAGCAGTGAAATGAAGCCATTAGTACAGATTCATAACTAGGAACTAAGGTCCTGGGCTGGTGGTCACCATTTCTCACGTCGGCTAAACAGAACGATCACTCCGACATTTCGTCCGTTTACGACGGCTTTCTGCAGAGCTCCTCCGAGTTCGCTACGGCACATGGGGGATCAGAGACCCCAAGGCGAAAACCTTTGCTCTGAATATACTAAATGTGGAGCTCTGCTCTGCTCCCTGAAACGCCTTCCTAAGACACATTTCAGAAATTAATTTCGGTATACTATGCAGAAAACAGATGCCGACTTCTTCCTGTCGAAAGGCCAAGAGAAAGTTTAAGACTGTGCCAGATGGTCTGTGGGAGAAATGGAGAATTACCAGGTGACTGGCTTTATGTTTCCACTGCACTGAAGAGCATCACCCTCTTTTTCATTACGACACGGATCTGATGTGGCAAGTAGTGCCACAGCGATAACATTTATACTCCATGTCACAGTGAGCACAGCATCCATGTCACTGAGGTTCTTTACCTCCACAGGGGGGGCACTCTTGCACTGGGGAGCCACGAGCCCCGTCAGGCTCTGCTGGGATTGAGGAGCAAAATCGGTGGGACACATCGACACCAACCACAAACCACCTGACAGTAGTACGGGCCAGCACTGTTCAGCCGCTGTCACTCCCACCCTGACAAGCCGCCTACCAGACGCAGCGCACATGTGACCCAGCGAAATGCCCCATCTACAGCGACTGCCACAGCCCGAGGTCAAAGCTGGAGTCAAGGAGGCGGCCTGAACTGCAGACATAGACAGGCAGGCAGACGCACAGACAGACAGACAGACAGGCAGGCAGACGCACAGACAGACAGACGCACACGCAGACAGACAGGCACGCGTAAAAATCATGTGCTTCCCGGCCTGTGGCACAGATGCGGAATGGGGGGGGGGGGGGAGCCAGGCGCAGAGACGCTCCATTCAAAAAGCTCTGGCTATAATTCCCAGTCCTGGTGGCCATGTCCTAATCCTAACGCTACCATGCACACCTGAAGATGCCCCCCTGTGGACAGCATCGGTATAGTGGTGCCCAGGCAGCACCTTCTGCCCCGAGACGGTCTCTGATCGCTCTGCTCCTCCTCCTGTCGCAGGCAAGCACTCTGCTCCTTTGATGCGCTCGCTGGACAGAAGTGGAAAACCCGCCTCCCGTCTCCGCAGCAACGGCCCAATGGGTGCCATCAATCCACCGCAGACAGTGTGCACAGTGATGAAATGACAGTGCACCCCCCACTGGGACACATCGGGGCAAGCATGTCTCTCACAAAGTGAGCTGAAAAGTGCCCAACTGCCTGTGAGCCCAACTCAGGGCAGCCGCCGGCGGTGAAGGGACCGGAGAGCATCGTATGAAATGCAGAGTCGGGTTAGGGTCGCCCGATTTTATGATTCTTTACGATTCTTTATCACATAAAATGCCGAATGCTGGATATGCCTGGACTTCCTCAAATTATTCAAATATTCTCAGAGAATACAGCCGCAGTAATGATTTTGCCTGTTCAGGACTGCAACAGGTGCAAATATTTACATTTTTCCGCACACAGAAAATTAGCTACCATATATGACTATACTACGCCACAATCAATCGCCAATCTTAGCATTTCTCTTGGTTTTTAACAGTGATGCACCGATAAGGAAATTTCTGGCCGATACTGATACTGACCGATGATTTCAAAATCTGATACTGATTGTTTGGGACGTTCTGCTTAAATAAAGACACTCCACCCAAATACATTTTATTTTAATTACAAAGACATGAAAAAGTATTTATTTTTCGGTAAGACAATAAACCCCGACATACTAGTCACAGAGCACTATATTTTATAACCAGGAATGCACATGCACCACTAGTCAATGGTTTTTGCACACAGTTAGATTTTCTACATTTGCATGTTACTCACTTAATATTTACTAAAAATATACTCGGTATTCTTTGCTAACAAAGTCACAGTATGTTCACCATTAGAGTACCTTTATTAGCAAGAAAATGTCATACCTTTGATTCATGAAAGTAACCTCCTCTAGCACTTATAACAGCAGAGAAAATTCAGGGCATTCTTTCTACAAGGGAGATTAAATGCTGCTCCGTTTCATGGGGTGAAATGGGGTGAAATGGTTCACTAGTGCATTTAAGCGCCATATGTGCCTCCGTCGTGATCCTTTGGAGCTGACAAAAACCGTTAAGTTTTATATAACATGGTGCAAAAAAACGGTAAATTAAACAGCATTTTCCTCCTTGGTTATTACCGGTATAATACTTTACCGTTCATTCGGAGTGAACCTGTAACACAAACTGCTATCGTATTAACGGATTGTGACTGTATGTTTCTCTGACTGGAGTATCAGTAAAAATGTAACTGAGGGTGACGTACTTAGTTTCTTTTTCACCGTGTGACGCGAGTCCTCCCTCGTCCCTCCTAAGTTACTCATTCTGCGGCGCGATACACAGCAAACTTCGGCACAGGGTAATGGCTGTTAAAGTCAAAGGACAGCCTAGAATTTGACTATGACATCACCACACAACCAGTTAATAGACACTGTTTGTGCTGTTACACACTCTTTCCATGTTATAAAGGAAACTTGTTTTATTTGACATATTTTTAATTGTTCACTCAACTTTCCGATGCTTAACAAGAATAAAAAAAATCTTCAGTTTGAATTGAAAAGTGATAAAAACCTGTGGTGTGCACACACCTCTGACTGGTAGTGGTGCACACACCTCTGACTGGTAGTGGTGCACACACCTCTGACTGGTAGTGGTGCACACACCTCTGACTGGCAGTGGTGCACACACCTCTGACTGGCAGTGGTGCACACACCTCTGACTGGCAGTGGTGCACACACCTCTGACTGGTAGTGGTGCACGTCTAGTGTCTAAATAACCTACCAGCCATGTCATTCAATGGCTCAAAAGCGGCTGTGCAAATCACAGACAACTCTGGGGTGCCAAATATTTACAAAAGGAAACAAAAATCCACCAGCACATGTTGGCTCAGATAAGTTGTGTCCTTCTGCTCGTCACTCATTAATTATGTGCTGAAAGTTTTGGCGAGGCGATCTATGGCAGCCAATCGGCACGGTCCCGGAACGTGCCCTGGAAACGGAGCCGAAATAATCTCCCCATTAGCCAATTTAGCTTGACATTATGTCACTTTTTCCTTCCAGTGTGAGCAGCACTGGTTTCTATGACGATGGCATGCCTACGGACAAACGTGAGTGGGTTTTCCGGGGGTCCCTCGTGTACGGAGAGTGCGTCATACTCCTGTTACTGGCGGTAGACAGACACAGGCCGAGCCGAGAGCCCCCCCCCCCC